TTTTTGATATGATAAACAATGATATAACATACACCATTTTAATGACAAATTTGCTCACAAGCTTAAATACGTTCTTATGACATTGACATGTTTTCAGACATGAACTACTAGTTAAAGATTACACACATCTTAAGGCTATATATATGCATTTAAGAATCATCATATAATAAGCTTACACCAGTTTTTATTTGTGCTCATTTTATAGCTTAGAAAAAAATAGCTTTTGATTGAGGAATTTTGGAGGATTTCATGATAATAGCTTTGAAAGAATGAAATTAGAATAAAAGTAATCAATCAGCTTCTATAGCATGAGAATGAATATTGCCCAAAAGCTCAAACATGTACTGATGGGATAAATGAAATGGGTTATGATGGAACATTTCTTATTCAAGATGACTGCCAATTCATAAGGTAAAGTAGAATGCCTAATATCAACAATAAAAAAACCTGGAAGCTGAGGTAAACAGAACATTTCTCAGAGATATGATGTACTTCTATTTTGTCACGATCATGAAATAAGAATGGCCTTGAAGTCATGGTTATAAGATAAATATGAACACATTGGTATGTTCTGAACTGTGCCTAACAGACAAGCTATGTTTTGCCATAATGTTCTGTGCTTTAGAGACACTTGTAGAATAGTATGGCATTAAAAGGTTGATTTGCTATGAGATTGATTGTTTCCATGGAAAGCACACATTCACACACCTACACCAAGATGAAGTTAAGTTCATTTCCTGGTGCCGTGGAGAGCAGCTCTTATTAAAACAGCAAATCTAAGGGTTGAGAACTGGCACTGATAATGTCCAGGTCTCAGATAAACCTTCTCATGTGGCATAAGGCCTCTTAGTGCATTCCATAAAATGATCAGACTTTCAAGGGAGCATTTCTGAGGTTCAGTAACATCAAACAGGACTTTCTTATGTTACAGATGAACAGATAAAAAAGAATATCTAACTTTCTGCATAAAATTTAAAGTCCAAAACCAAGACTAAAATAGTGGCCATTATGTATTGAAATAAAATAAATGAGATAATGTAAAAAGTAGTGTTAAAAACTAACTGCTCTAATTTCAGCTATTCTTCTAGGAGAGTGATAAAGAAGGAGGAACATAGGCAATAATTATAAAGTCTTCACAAAGTAACCTTTGTTTTTTTGTGATATTTCACATATGTCACACACTTGAAAATGCCTCTGGGAATTAATTCTGATTCTTCAACATTTCACCTGAATATATAAAATTAGAAAAAGCCAGAGTTGACAATCTCTCGTTGTCTATTGAATATCTAAACAGAAAGAGATAAGATACATGTTTTTAAAGCATATGTAATATTGAAAATATATACTCTAAGTGAAGTCTAGGTGAAGTACCTGCTAGATATTCTGGACAGGACATAGATGAATTGAATTCTATTAAAATGTAGGTTAAAAAATGTGGAAGGTTCTGCATATGAGGACACAGTGAGAAGGCATCTGTGTACAAGGCAGAAAGCAAGCCCTCACCAGAAATCACCCATGCTAGCACCTTGATCTTGAACTTCCAGCCCCCAGAGCTGTGAGAAAATAAATTCCTCTTGCTTAAGATACCCGATCTACGGTGATTTGTTATGGCAGCCTGAGTTGAGTAAGACTATATGCTATACATAATTGCAATACACGAGAAAGTTGAGGTGTGTATGTATGTTTGTGTGAGCACATGTACAAATATGTTAAGATAGAGATAGCAGGCAATAAGAGAGAGAGAGACAGAGACAGAGAGAGAGACAGAGAGAGAGAGAGAGAGAGAGAGAAAGCAGCAAGCAAGCCACGAAAATAATGTTTTCCCAGTATTTCCTGAGGTAGTGCCTCTGATACCTGTATGTTTTAAAGTGAAATAAAAATAGAATTTTAGTCAACAACCACAAATCTATTGTTCTGGTCTGCTCTGTGGAAGAGTTTGGTGCTTGGCCTAGTAAATTCACTACATTGTGTCAAGAAGGAAGCATAAAATGAAGATTCCCTGTCCTGTATAGTAAAAGAATCTTGTGTTATATCATTTATCACACTGTAATATGTGCAAAATGCTATTTAGAAGCCTATCTTTTTTTCATCTTTTATTTTAGATTCAGGAGATACATGTGCATTTTCATAATCTGTGTATATTGTATGATGCTAAGGTTTGGAATATGAATAATCCCATAACCAAGGTACTGAGCATATACCCAATAGTTTTTCAACTGTTTCTCCCCTCACTTCCCCCTAGTAGTCTCCAGTTTTGATTGTTGCCATATTTATATCCATAAGTACTCAATGTTTAGCTTTCACTTAGAGTGGGAAGATGTGATATTTGGTTTTCTGTTCCTACATTAATTTGCTTAGGATCATGGCCTCCAGCTGCATCCATGCTACTGCAAAGGACATTATTTCATCTTTTATAACTGTATAGTATTCCATGGTATATATGTACCACATTTTCTTTATCCAGTCCACCACTGATGAACATCAGGATGGTCCCCTGTTTTGCTATTTTGAATAGTGCTGCGATGAACATGTGAGTGCATACATCTTTTTGGTAGAATGATTTGGGTTTTTTTTAATGTATATCCAGTAATGGGATTGCTGGGTCTAATGGTAGTTCTGCTTTAAGTTCTTTCAGAAATCTCCAAAGTGCTTTCCAGAGTGAAGAAGCCAGTCTTTTAGATAATTTTGATTTTTCCCTACTTTAGTATCCTGATTGATATCTGTATTTGGTTTTAGATAGGTAATCTGATTTAAAACCAACAAACAAGAGTATGCCTTTTCCACAATGCATGTTCTATCGCATGTTCTATCATGCCAGAATGATGTCTTTTAAAATACCACTTTTCAAAAGGCCATAGTTTTGAAGGATCATGGAAGAAATGTTCTGCACTGTCGACCTCTAACATGTATCTATTTTAGACCTCAACCACTTACTACTTTTATGCTCAGCTTACATTATTACAAGGTGCCAAAACTAAAAACAAAATTCCTTCATATAAATTAGTGACTAAATGCCATAGTTCCAAGTTTAGCATGTACTAAGGTGACCAATTGTTGAAGTATTGTAGAATAAATGATGAAGAATTATACCTTTGGAGGCAAATATATCCACATTTGAATGCTGTCTCTGTACCATCTGCTCATGTGATCTTCACAAGTTTAATGAAAAATGTACATAGGTACTTAGCCCAATGACTGGCACTTAGTCACAGACCACTTAATCTTAGCAGATGTAGATGTCTTCTAGCTTTAGAGTTTGGAAGGATCTTTATTGTTTCTATTTGTTGCAATGAACTTTTTTCCCTCAACATGTGCAGAAATTTATTTCCAAAATGAAGGGAGATAAGGAGGGAAGGTGAAGGTAGTGGTACTAACCAAAGTCATCAAACCCAAGATGCAACAAGAACAAGTCACTTTGGTTCCTGGAGACAAACCTGAAGAGGGAATAGGCAGAAAGGAAAACACAATTGTAAAAATATATAGTCAATGAGATTTTTTTCTATCTCAATGATTTAGTTATAAATATAGATTTCTTCCCTCTATGCATGTAACCAATACAAAATTCACTACCATGAAATTTTAAAAATGAAGTATTTCACATTTGTTAAAAAAAGTAAAAATCACATACTTTTCTTCCCTTCAGGTTCTGAACTATTCCATGGAATAATAGCTAGTGCTAACTTCTATACGCAGTTAAGCTATATTAAACTCCTTTGACAATATAAGGAGCTACATAATTTCTATCACACTTGCCTTGAATTTAGGCATGAGAAAAATTTACTGAAGCAACTAAAAAGGAGCAAGTCAAGAAAAAGGAAAGCTATAAAGGAGACAAAAAGAAGACTAACAAATGAAACAATTATCCTGAAAAACTCGTATGTTTTATTCAAGTAGTGCAAATACCCCACAAATGGCAATAAATGCAATCTATTACAACAAAGTCAGCAAAATAAAGTGCACATCTCAAGCATGATAAATGGCCCTAATAGGCTATCTGCTGAAAGATGTAAGGCTTGTGATTAAGTCCACCCAAAGGTCCAAATTCCTTCTGGACCTTAAAGAAAAGGTTCTGCAATGCACTTTTATTTTTATTATTTTAGTCTTTAAATTGTTACATTGCCCTTTTAATATACAAACGTATGTATATGATATTTCCCATGTCTGCATTTAAGAAATATTTACTGTGAACCTACTATTCCAGGTACTGTTATAGGCCTTAAATTCACACACACACACACACACACACACACACACACAAATCATCAAATTTTCAGAAACATTCTGGGCGGCACCCACTGGATTGATTATCAAGGCTTCCTACATGCTTTTTGAAGGGACCTTATTTTCCATAAAATAAAGAGAAATGTATAGCTCAAAACATATCTTTATAATAATAAACTTCAAGATTTTCCAGGATATTTGCAAATTTGAATATTATGTGTGATCAGACAGTAATTGATATGTTACATTGTCAGTTTCTATCTTATGTTTACCATTATTTTATGGTACAAACACAATTTAAACTTGAAATAATTCCTTTGTTAAAAAATAAAAACTTAAAACAAAATTTAATTATGTAAAAGCAAAAACTGCAGTGATTCCGATAGCAATATTCTATTATAAATATTAGAAATCACATTCTTCTATTGGTTAGGGTGTCCCGAGTATTTTTTTCCTCCACATTTAGTGTCAAATAATCTTATTGGTCTGGTATAGGGCATACATGTGTATTTATATCTGTGTGTATTTGGACACATACATAAATATGTGTATATGTTAATCATTATTCACATACACACACACGCACATATATATGCATTTAAGATGAGGACATTGAGGCTTGAGGTGATAGGTGTCATGGTAATAGTTGAATGGTATGCCCTTTGTTAAATAATCATCTTTCAGCTCCAATCCCTTTACTTTCCACTCTGTTTGGCAACGAGTGTTTGGAACTTTGCAAATCACACTTCAACATCACCAGCTGCTCAGATTCTTCTGAGACCAGAAGGGAAACTGGGAAGCTGGAGGAGAAGGGGAGAGGGCCCTGCTTTCCCTGTGTGTTTCCTGTTGCTGTTAGCAGCATCTCAGTTTCTGTGTGTGTGTCTGTGTGTGTGTGTGTGTATGTGTGTGTGTGTTTTGTGGCAGTTTATTTCCATCGCATTCATTGCAGTGTATTTTCTAAAAGTCTCCTGCAGCTTTTTGTAGCTGGGGTCTGGAGAGGGTTAGATGGAAGAGCTAGGAATAAAAATGTATGGAGTACTAAGTCAGAGTGGAGAGAAGGGTCCTCAAGGTCCCTCTGCCTCCTCTTCTACCCCCATAAGGAAGTGTTTGCAGAGGTGCCTGAGGAAGACCTCAGATAAGGGGGCCTCCAAATGAAGGCACCTGGGATAAGAATGCAGATATTTGTCGGGGCACAGCTGACCATATGGGTCTGAGTTTTTTGGTGCAATGCATTGGCTATATGCTAAATTTGATGTCGGGTATGTAGCTTTGCCCCATGAGACCTGCCAGACCAAGCCTTTTTGATTGACTATCGTCAGGCCTGAAAGATCACCCACGGGATTTCAGCTGTACTACTAGTTCCCTTATGCCATTTTTGAATCTATTTATAGACCAAACCTCTCCCCAAATCCTGCAACCAGTGTGCATATTTTTCTTCACTGTAGATTAGTTTTGTCTTTCCTAGAACTTGATGTGAATATAATACTAATGTCGATAGATATGGATAAATTGTAATTACAGGATAGGAGAGTAGAAATAAAATAAGCAAAGTTCATAAGAAAGCAAAAAAAGAAGGCATCTAGAGCTCAGATGGAAGGATTAGAATAGTTATTTTATTAACAGCAAAATTGGAAGAGAAGACGAATGAAGTTGAAAATAATTTCTAAAAAGAAACTTAATATCACCTGAGATTATCATTTGTATAATCCCTTTGATGTTCAATATATTATATTTTATTAATGATTTTCTGATTATAATCCATCCTGTTATACTCTATTTAGTAACTAGGTACTATTATTTTATCATTCATCTTTAAATGATAATGGTTGATGCAGAAATGCTTATCTGAAACATATGATAGAGAAAAACATTAAATCTTCAACGAATTAAGAGCATGTAAAAATTATGAGGAAAGAAAAATACCCTAGGAAAAAACTAATCACATGAGAAAGGCTGGAAGCATTTAAAAATAATTAGTTAATACATATAATTTAGACGCCTGAGTAGTTAATAATGGTAGAGATGTTGAAAATGTCACCCACATTCATATGGGTGAAAATCACCATGTTTACTAGCAACCTATGGATGTGCAAATTGAATGAGTGAATGTATACAAATGAGTATTTTTTATATATGTGTGTGTGTGTGTGTGTGTGTTTCGCTTTTGGTAAAGCAACTTCACATTTAGGAATTTATCATACAGGAGTTGCAAAGAGTCTGCTCAGGTTTTCACCTGCAAGAATGTTGATTCACATGCATATTTAAATTAGTAACACAACTAAAAAACTCTCCTGAGTTCAACAATGGAAACATAGTTAATAGTATAATAATACAGATAACTAAGTGATTGTGATGAATAGATCTTTGCAGCCTATTGTTAAGTAAAAGAACTCTAAAAATTATGTATAATATAAACCTATTTGTATACACATAAATATAGAAAGATTTTGAAATGTTATAGCCAAATATAGCCAATACAATTGTCGTCTCTTAATTGGTGAGATTACATGTGAGTTTTAGATTTTTCTTCTTGTTTTATTTTGGATAAGGTTATTTAAATTTTCCTCAGTAAGCATATATTACCTTTGCAATAAAGATAATTTGCATTTCTAATAGATTACAATTTGTTTCTACCCATGTTTCAGTTGTTATTTTGTATTGTAACTATCACTCAGAACCCTTTGAGACTCCAGTTCTAGCAGAATAATTTTGCAACCGCTTTTCACAGTGTTAAAGTCTCTCTGGATATTCTGCTTTATTGCTCTAATAGTTTAATGTCAACTCTTTTTCATAAGAGAGATCTATCTTGGGTATTTCAATCATCTTGCAAAAAAGGAAAAGCATATTTTTTTCATGAAGGATTGAAAATAAATAAATGCTTGGCTTAATATGAGATCATAAACTTGTTATCTCTTTTTTTTTCTTTTGTGTGTGGGAAAATGTCAGAAAATTGCAATAGTAGGACTAAAGTAATAAATTAAATTATAACTAGTAGAATAATATAAAATGTTAACTATATTACTTAAAGCGGAATAACATAGTGAGAGCTACTATATAAGAAAAACTTGGATTTAATTTCTTACGTTTTCATGTGATAATCATGTGATCTTAAAGCAATTACTTAACATATGAGTACACCACAATAACCTCTTAAATATACAAATTTTCATGCCTTTTCTTGTAGGATGAGAATCAGGCTTAAATGAGCGATGTGTAAGGACTGATATATTGTGAGGATGCAATTACTATTATCTATACTTAATATTTTTATTGTTCAACCAGCAAATACATATCAGATAGTAATATGTTCTATGAAGAAAATAAACAGGACAACCTAATAGACAGTGAATGAAAATTAGCTTTGGAAGAGATTTGAAGAGGCTGACTTAGATTACTTGAGTTTATTAGAATTTAAATATGCTCATACCTACCATCAAGTGTGATCCCACCAAGTGTCAAATATTTCCACATTGAGACAAGCAGTATTAATAACAAAAGACAATATATTACAAAGGTTTTCTATGTGGCAAACTGTTTGTAAGATTATTTGCTTTAATCCTATATTAGCACTAAAATTGAAGTATAATATTGACACCACAGACATCTGGAAAAAACCAAATGGAAAAGTCGATTTCATGGAAACAAAGAGTAGAAAGGTGGCCACCAGAGGCTGAAAGGGAGGCAGAGAGATGAGAAAAGGGGGAATGTTGATCAAAGGTGTTAAATTACATTGAGCCTAAAGCTGCTTCCGTTTTTAAATTTGACCTATAGTTTCTCTGTACATAGCGAACTGTAACCTAATTGAATATATAAACAGATTGTAACTTACTCTTGTGCTTATTACCACATTTCAGCCAATCAAAGGCAGCCAGCTGTTCAAACCATATTTAAATAAAGCAAATGCTATGCTGTAACCATTCCAGCTGTTTCTCTACCTCACTTCTATTTACTGTACATCTCTTTCCTCTTTCTATCGCTAAATCCTCTTGGACCACAAGGCAGTACAGAGTGGCTTTGAGCCTCCCCTGGTTCTGGTCTGCTCGATTCACAAATCAGACTTTCAGTTTCTGTTAAGCTGGAGGACAAAGTTTTAGTGATCCTTTGCACTGTATCATGACCAAATTTAACAATAAAGTATTGTATATTTCAAAATTGCAAAAGAATATATTTTTAATGCCTTCATCACACAAAAAAATGACAGATTGATGAGGTGAGGAATATGTTAATTAGCTTTATTAACTCTTTGGACAATGAATACATAGGTCAAAATTGTATACTCCATAAATATACACAACCGTTTTTTGTCAATTGAAAATAAGTTCATAAATATATTTCAGTTCCTACTGCTTCATTTTCATCACATTTGACATGAAATAACAAAGTGGCAAAATTTATTTTGTGGCAATGGACTATAAGTAAGCTCTCTACCTATACCCAATTAAGCCATGGTTAAGTAAAGAGAAAGTCCACAAACAGTTGGCCTGAAGTTTAAGACATATGAAAGAAATCTAACAATGTTTAAACCAGCACTGACGGAATATGAGAACACAGATTTTTTAAATTTAAATTCCATTTAATTTTTTAATTTAAATTTTAATTTAATTAAAAATTTTTTATTACAAAAAAATTATGTATACATAAATATCTTCCCGATCTATATTTTCTAAAATTTAAGGTTTATTTTCCACTAGATGATGACAGAATTCTTGTCTCAAATTTAAGATGTGGGTCAGGTTGATGGGCATGGTTCTTGGTCTAATTTTTTAATTTCTCAGAAAGTTTTTCAGTGCAAGACTACTGCACTAAACTGTGACTTCTAACTTTAAAACTTGGTTCTATAATACACTATACTAATGTAAAAATAAAAGGTAAAGATTCCACCATAAATGGCACACAGGAGAACTCTTGCTGTAGTTACTTCTGCTTAGAATAGTATATTTATGGTGAAACCCTCCCATAGAAAAATGTGACATATGAAACTTACTGATTCTTCCAGTCCCTTTCTTTCTTCACTTTTCTTCTCTGGAAGTTGCTATGTTTGAGTAGTTTATAAAGTTTAAGGGTTGAGGGTATAGCGGGTGATTGGACTTCACCTCTAAAAGAAATATCCAGTGCAGTGCAGGATAGCTGTCCCATTATCTCAATGCAGTTTCTACACTGAGGGACCTATAGTGCAGGAGGGGCTTTATTTCCTCTATGGAATCTATTTTATGTATCAAGGTGTAACTTTGGCTTGAGGTGAAAATAAATTTTATGTAATATAACTCCATTAGCATTATTAGTAGCCTATTACCTCCACAGCCCTTCACACACTTTTAGTATGTTGACTAGCAGTTTGAATTTCTTTGTAGGGTTGTGTTTTCATTGTGTTGTACTTATCACTATTTTAAAGGACACTTTGCAATAGCTGCATATGGGTGTGTTGGTCATTCTGCAAGTAAATCTGGAATCCTTTTGGAGATTATAATATAATATACTTAAAGTACTATTTTTTTTTTCAAATTACAAAGAGACAAAAGACAAAGCCTTTTGCTTCTACTATAAATAGGACACCTGAGTCAATTATGTCCCTGTTCCAGTGATGGAACTCAGCATATTTCTAAGGAGCAGAGAATTCAGAAACTCCCATGGGCCTCCCACAGCTGGAATCTAAGTAAGAAAATGAATTCCATCCCTCACATGTTTTAAAAATGCAAAAGGCTGCTGACATTCTAGTTATAAAAGTTATCCGGGCTGTCAATTTTGTGACTTTAATGTATTCAATATTCCAAGAAAATGCTTCTTGGAGTCTGGCACCTGCAAATACTGATTTCTTAAATTTATGTTTTGATGCTGTGTTACAGAAATTGTAATTACAACAATTTCAAACAAGTAGTTGTACTGAGTGATATGTTCACTACCCTTTACGTTTAGAAAGAAAATATTTCTGAGTAGGTAAATATTGCTGTTCAATCCTGTTGACAGTTTGCTTTACGAATTTGAGGTGGCTTATGAAAATGTCCCTGAATTTTGAAAGCTCTTTTATAGCCTCTGGATAACTTTTACTTTCACAGAGGTTTCTACCTAAACTGCTAAGTCCATGATACAACATGTTAAAAAATAAACATTAGTGACATATTGCATTTCAAAATTATTATATATAGTCACTAAAATATTATCATTTTAAAATACAATTCTTATGCACAACTTTTGCATTAGTTACTATATTTTGCTTTTATTATTTATAGCTCCTAGCCATATAAAGCTTTCTTCACACTGGTTTTTCACACTTAAGAATTTTCTTCATTTATATTTGTTTGATGTTCATAAGTGACACCTTTTTGTTGTTGTTGTTGTTGTTTAATTTCAAATGTTATCACTTACTGTTATATACTTATTTGTCTTCAAACTTTCACTTCTGGGTCAAATAATGGACTGTAATTTGGTTTTTATATTCATCACTAATATTTGGATTTTGTCTATCCATCTATTTATATATGTGGTTTAATCAATAAAATGCAAAAGACTGGTCATTACTCACCTTTCTAGTAGATAAGGTGAATAAGTAAAAACTTAGAATCTCAGAAGTTTACTTGAGCAAATTTTCTTCAGGTTCAAGAGGACCTCTAGTTAGAAGTTCATGACTCACCGTATCAATTTTTTTTTCACTAGAACAACCACAGAAGTCTCAGAAAAGAGAATATAAAAGCATACAACAAAATAAAGGAGTCATAAGAGTACAGGGATCCCATACATGAAGTTGAAGAGTGTTCGGTTTTAATTATTCACAATTATCATTTGTATAATTGTAGGTAAGTTTATCTTTCTAATACTGGCTTTGTCTTTTTTAAAAAATGGAGATAAGTGGCCGGGCGCGGTGGCTCACGCCTGTAATCCCAGCACTTTGGGAGGCCGAGGCGGGTGGATCACGAGGTCAGGAGATAGAGATCATCCTGGCTAACACGGTGAAACCCCGTCTCTACTAAAAATACAAAAAAAAAAAAAAAAAAAAAAAATTAGCCTGCTGTGGTGGCGGGCGCCTGTAGTCCCAGCTACTTGGGAGGCTGAGGCAGGAGAATGGCGTGAACCCAGGGGGCGGAGCTTACAGTGAGCCGAGATTAGCCACTGCACTCCAGCCTGGGCAACAGAGTGAGACTCTGTCTCAAAAAAAAAAAAAAAAAAAAAAAAAAAAAAAAAAAAAAAATGCAAGAAAGTAAATAAGTAAAAAAAAAAAAAAAAAAAAAAAAAAAAAAATACAAGAAAAGTAAATAAGTAAATATCAGCTACATTAGGCATTGTGAAGAACAAATCAAATATTATGTAAAACTTTTTTTGAAACAGTGCCTAACATGTATAGCACATCAATAAATAGGGATTTTATTGATTATTTTAAATTAATCTTGCAACAATAAAAACGAAGAGATTAAAAGACAAACTTCTATTCGAATCTGGGGGTAAATTTCCATACTTACTTAAAAACTATAATTAAAATTGAATTTACAATTGAAAATTGATATTGCTAAATTCTGTCTTACATGTGAAAAAGCAAGTCTAACATGCTAAAAAGTGGTAAATGGTTGCCTCTTCTGGTACCTACATTATGTCTCGCTGATCCCAGTCTTACAGTTTTTATAACCCCAAATCTGAGGTGCCTTTTATTTATCTACATCTATATGTATATCTATCTACCTATATCTATAGTTTTTTTTGTTTTGTTTTGTTTTTTGAGGTCACTATACTACAGTTTTTCTATCTAGCGTATCTCTTTCTGTTTATATGCAAGACAACAGATCACATGTGGGAGATGCTTGAAGCGGAGAAGTGTGTCTCTAAAAGTGTGATATCTACAATAAATCATTTGGAAAGAGTCCTCAACCGGCTGTGGTGTCTTAATGCCTGTAATACCAGCAGTTTGGGAGGTCGATGTGAGTGGGTCGCTTGAGCCCAGGAATTCAAGATCACCCTGGCTGAAATGGTGAAACCCCATTTCTACAAAAAATACAAAAATTAGCTGGGCATGGTGTCGCATACCTGTAGTCCCATCTCCTCGAGAGATGCTGAGGTAAGAGGATCACTTGAACCTGGAGGTCGAGGCTGCCATGAACCATGATTGCACCACTGCACTCCAGCGTGGGGGACAGAGCATGACCCTATCTCAAAAAAAAAAAAAAAAAAAGTCTTGATGCAAAGAGCACTGCTGGTGCTTTAAGCTTTGGATTTTGGATTCTCATGCACCTATTGATTTATCATAGCAATCAAATTAGCCGTGGAGTCAGGAGAACATTAAGCCTCAATTTGGCAGACATAGTATAGGTAAATAACTTAAAGTCATCATCAATTGTACTAGGCAACAAAGTATAACTGTCCTTTGGTATTAGGGCTAACAAAGAGATTCTCATATACACACTGTATATATATACACACACACGTATATAGTGTATACAATATATATTGTTATATATATAATATATAACAATTCCTTTGTTAGCCCTGAAAATGCCCTTTGTTAGCCCATATATATGCAACATGCTCAACGCACTAATCGTCAGGGGAATGAAAATCAAAATGAGTTATCACCACACCCCGCTTAGAACAGCTATTATTAAAAAGACAAAAGATATCAAATGCTGGTGATGATGAAAAAAAGAGAACCCGTCCGGGCACGGTGGCTCGTGCCTGTAATCCCAGCACTTTGGGAGGCCGAGGCGGGAGGATCACGAGGTCAGGAAGTCGAGACCATCCTGGTTAACAAGGTGAAACCCCGTCTCTACTAAAAATACAAAAATTAGCTGGGCATGATGGCATGCACCTATAATCACAGCCACTTAGGAAGCTGAGGCAGGAGAATTGCTCGAACCTGGGAGGCAGAGGTTGCAGTGAGCGGAGATCGTGCCACCTCACTCCAGCCTGGGCGACACAATCAGACTAAATCTCCAAAACAAAACAAAACAACACACACACACACACAAAAAACTACTCATCAATAAAAGGAAAATGCTTATAATTTATTAAATACAACAGTCAAAATTAAATATATAGTAAAGGCAACATAAATGACAGAGCATTTTTAATCAAGCTTACATTGTAGTTGTTTAAATATTTTTAAATAATCTAATCACACAATTTTGAAGCCCATGCCCCTGCATGTAGTGTACTGTAGATCTTATGTACATATTTCATATATCAGCATAATGATATATACAACATAGAATATAGAATAATGCCTAGTGCTTTTACATACATAGGCATGTAGTTTGCATGTAATGTATAAAAATTATTTATATAAGCTACAAATGAAAATTAGTGGCATTATTTTTTAACATGTCCTACAAAAAATAGTTATTTTTATGTTTTGTTTTAATTTAAAAGCAGAGTAATGCCAAACCAAAAAGGTATGTTTTCAAATTAACAAGTATTTGCTATACATGGACAAAGAATAATATTTATTAATTACAATTAATTATTAATTACACAGTCAGGTTAAACATAAGTGTCCTTAGTATAATAAAAATCAAACATTCCAAAATTTTACCCACGTTTAAATATAGCTATGGTGAATGGAAAAAGACACAAGATATAAACAAGATTTTTAGAGCGAGGAAGAAAACATCTAAGCTTACAGGTTGCACACCAATAGCAAAAGGATTCTTTTTTGCCAGGGTTAGCTGACACAAGCAAAAAGCAATGCAATAGCCATAAATTTGCCTTGAACAAGATCTATTGTCTCTTTTGGTTGTTATATTTTAGTAGACTTTTTTAAGACCGAATTTTTCAGGAAACCTGAACATACATTTTAAATTTACATATTTTCCTCCTTGTTGTTTTCATATGTTAAAAGACTTTGACTAAGACCCCAAAAACAATTTTTCAAAAACTCTGGCTAATTTTCACTTATTTTGCAAAAACGGAAATTTTCTATCATCTTTACCGGATATTTTCTTCCAAGACAAAGGGTTTCACTAAGTGAATGAATCTAACATATATCATTTAACATTTTTATTATATCATGCCACCCAACCTCACTCGTTATGTTCTTTGCATATATGCTCTTTGCATGATCTGAACGTTCAGTTCCCCAAAATTAAAGCCACTACCTGCGAAATAGTGTCTTTTGAGAAGTACAATTAATGAAATGCTTTTTAAATGAATACATATCCATTTATGGAAATGGGCCTTTTCTTAGAAATAGTTTGTTGCTTGAGAAGTATCCAGGGTTCTTTTGCGAATGAATTGTGAACATAGATGGAATATGAAAAAAAAATGATAGCTGTTGATAATCATTTACATTATAACCTGACTGCCTGAAACAATGAAGTGAATTAAGAAAATAAATTGCCTTCAGAATGTACAACATATAAAATTAAAGAAGTATAAATACCCTCCATGTGTCTCTACCACTGTCAAATATAGAGGGCACCATCCCTGAAAAATTAGCCTTAATATTCTGTTTAATTTGGGAGGTGTGTCCTTAGAAAGCAGATGGGGGTCACGGGGGTGGGGTGGCCTATTGGCTTGATTACTGAGGTCACTTTACTCCCTACCTCTGATCTGAAGAGGTGCAAACAACTTTCTGAACATAAAATGACCAAGTATTTGGATTTTCTGCAGAGGAGACAATTCAACTGAAATTCAATGAATGTCTTTTTATTTCTATGATAGGTAAAGTGAAAAGTGCTAAGTTTTTAAAGATAAATTGGTTCCATTACTGGCCTTAAAAAATGTTCACAAATTGTTGCTGGCTAAGGGCAATCTGGAATGTAGCTAAAAATGTGATAAGTGCTTAAGAATAGGTGCTGTGGGAGCACAGAAGCAGCAGCAATTAATTCTGCTTAAAGTAAAGAGAAATACTTTACAAATAAAGTGATAAGTCAACTGGGACCTAGCTAAAGAGAAGAATCTTGCCAGGAAGGCAAGGGGAAGCTTTCTAAATGAGAGAAAGACAATACAGTATCATCTTTAATCATCACAGCTCTGTTAGGTATGTATTATCCCCACTTTGCAGGCCAATTTATTGAGGCTCAAAGACCTTGTTCAAGTTCCCTTTTTAAGTTATGATGAAAAATGAGACTGTAATGAAATGCTGTTGATCACAAATATAATTTTCTCGGCACTTCTTTCTGCTGTTTCAGTCAATAATACCAAACAGACAAATGACAATAGGTATGAACATTAAAAGACAGATTAATATACATTTATTTTCATGGAAGTGGAATGGCTCCAGAAGAGCAAAGTCACAATAGAAAACTCTGCTCTGGGTAAAACAGCAAAACATTTCTGAGTTCAGGAGCTAAAATTGTCTGGGATCAAAATGAAGTGGTAGAGAAAACATGGAACCTGGTTTGGAGACTATGCAGGAAGCAAAAAATGCCATGATCAGTGTAGTGTTGAATGTACAAAGAAAAGGCAGTAAACCTACATTTCTGTAACTGCTAGAACTTACTACTAGGACAATAGGAACTCAAGGGGCAAGTTGCTAAAGAAATGAGAACAGCCAATGGATGTCACTAATACTTAACATAGCCCTTGTAAAATTCCATAATAAAATTGATAAAGAATTGTAAACACTGAAAAAGAGAAAAATTATCATTTCTCTCCATAACACAAGGATGCCTTTCTAGAATGGCAACAAAGTGATATTGCAGCTTATAAATGAATAAATAGAAGTCTAATACATAAAATCACATCTGTCTGCCTCTAAGTATATTTTTCATTTTCCCGGTATCCCTCCTTCTGTAAGCCAATAAAGTTCTTTCTTACTTTCTCTCTCTCTCTCTCTTTAATTTTTTCCCTGGTGATCTTACTCTAACACCCT